GGGCAAACCCTGCAACTTGGCAGAGACAATTTAGAGCGTGAAATAGCTAGGAAAGTGCAGCTGGGTTGGGCAGCATTTGGGAAACTGCATCATGTCTTCTCGTCACCACTACCGCAGTGCCTGAAGACCAGGGTTACAAGAAATGCGTCCTACCGGTCATGACTTACGGAGCCGAGACGTGGAATATGACGGTCAAACTGGCTCACATGGTATCTCGTTAAGGAACAAAGTATGGAACGAAGACATAAGACTAAAGTTGTGAACATCATCCAGAAATGTAGCAAGCTGAAGTGGCAGTGGGCTTGCCACATCTGTCGCAGAAGCGATGAGCGATGGAGTAGACGGGTTCTCGAGTGGAGACCACTTCTCGGCAAACGTACCGTAAGACGTCCCTCTACAAGATGGACCGACGATCTGAAGAATGTCGCGGGTAGTGGTTAGATGCAGAAAACGGGTGATCGGGCACTGCAGCAGCAGTACTGGACTGCAATAGGCTGTATGATTGAATTGATCGTCATTTACAAGAATCGAATAAAGACTACAAAAAATTTTGAATATACCGCGGAAGAAAGTGCCTTATGTTAAAAATCGAAATGAGCCTGACGAGGAGATGCTACGTCTATTGAAACTGAACCAATTCATCTCTGATTCTGTAAAAGATATATAACAATAATAATAGGCCATGATTGAAGAGAGAGACTAGAGTCTATAACAGATATCCGAAATAATAACAAATATGATTTGATTACTTTTTTTTGTCATTTTTTATTTTTTTGGTTTATATTATTTTAAGTAAAATTTATAAACACATTTAATTTATTTTTATAATATATTGCGATAACAATTCTGTGTTGTATATTCAAAGAAAATTGTTTCCTTTTTTTTTGCTTATTATCGACACAGAAATGGAGCATGATTTTTAAATTGTAAATGAGGTTTTTTCTGTCAAAATTTGAAAAAGGAATGATTATTATATGACTATGGGGATTATTCCTTTATATGAAGGTTTCATTTAGCACTCAAAACATATCAATAAAGTGTTAACCATTCAAAATAATTTGTATCATACGCAGCAGTTCTAAGGATTTGCATAATATATTCTGTTGTATCCAATCCATATTCTAAGTTTGAACATAGGTTTTTTAGCGAACAGCGCCTTTTGCGCATTGCTTAGTTATAAACAAAAGAGATTTGGATAAGAAATGGATAAAAGAATGAAATATTCTCTATTGGGATTGAAAATTACAACAACATATTCCTTCAGTATAATCGGCCTACTTTCCCGATCGGTAGATCTATCGGGAAAGTAGATCGATCGGGAAAGTAGACCGATTGGGAAAGTAGACCGATCGGCAAAGTAAGCCGATCGGGAAAATAGACCAATCGGGAAAGTAGACCGATCGGGAAAGTAGAGCGATCGGGAAAGTAGACCAAATGGAAAAGTAGACGAAATGGGAAAGTAGACCAAAACCGGAAAGTAGACGAAATGGGAAATAGACGAATCGGGAAAAACAAGTGGACCGTGGACCGAGGAAAGTAGACCGATTGTATCGAAGGGCGCCATATCTTATCCAAAATACCAGTGTATCAAAACAAAAGTCTTCGACCAGTGTGTGTTACCAGTGATAACTAACGGCACTGAGATGTGGTCGCTCATTATGAGCGTCATAAGAAGGCTCAATAACACTCAAAGGGCAATGGAAAGGGCTATGCATGGAGTTTCGTTGCGACATCGAACCAGTAATGTGGATATCCGCAAGGGAACTAGAGCAACCGATATAGCCCTAAGAATTGCAAAACTTAAGTGGCAATGGGCAGGGCACATTGCTCACAGAACCGATAGCCGATGGGCCGAAGAGTTCTCGAGTGGCGACCGCATAACGGAAGACGCAGCGTGGGCAGACCACCCACAAGGTGGACTGGTGAAGGCTGCCGGAATCCGCTGGATGCAAGCGGCGTAGGACAGTTCAGGTGGACGTCTTTTGACTGAAATGAATGAATGAAATGAATTCGACGACACTCGCATTAGTACACCGGGATCACAGTGTGGTCGGCGTCTTACGCCTCACGGCGTCCAAGTGAAGCCGCTCGAATGCTACCAAGCGTCGACGCTCGATTCCATATTTGCAAAACACAAATTTGTACCTTAATAACGGGAAAATAGAGATGAATACGCTATAGGCGAAAAACATGACGCGTCGCGACGCTTCGACTCTGCGCTGGTGTGAGTTGAGCTTTAGGTATGTTTCTTACTTTGATCGTTCCTTCGCACTCAAAAAAAATGACAAATGAGTATTATATGTACTTCGGTTTACAATTTTTTTTTACGTAGGAATTGGAAAAGAATATTACGCAAGTATAAATTTGACATTAAGTAAAAAATTTGAATAAACGAACCAAGAATTATGTCAATTATAAAATTACAAGTTAAATAGAAAACGTGTTACAAAATTTAGGAAATTCTACAAATACTACAATGAGATGTAGTTATGTAATTATGTGGTGTACAATGTTGAGGAGTAGTAGTGACTTGTGGGGATATTCTCCCAAAACAAGCTTTAAGTCAGTATCGTCTCCGCTTGGAATAACCGAAGGTTTAAACTCCAAGTTTCAACGACTTCTGAATCTACACATGGGTAGAGATCGAGATATGAAGAAAGTGTACTGTTGGGGTTTCTGGATAGTTTCGTGTTTGACAAGACTGTGCTTGTAGTGCTACCGGTACACCAACTTTGGACCAGTTACATTTGTAACCAGTGTGTAGGTGATCTGCAGTGTACAATGACTTATGTAATAACACTTTCCACAATTAAAATATTTCAGTGTGTTTCTTGGTTTATTCCAAAATTTTTTTTGGGCGACAGTGAAACGCGCACTGTTGGCGCTGGTGGATTGTAATGTAGATTCCGCTTGGAATACTCTGAAGATTATAACGTAGCCAGGAGAGTAGTTAGGCAAAATAGTAGTACCTTCCACAGCCAGTGCGCTTCCGTACATCGTGCTTAGTACGTTTAAAGTTCAAAATTCAAAAGGGTAAAGAACTAGTGGTATTAAATTCAGTTTTATACATATTTATTCCGGTTTTAACAATATTTATGATCTTAAAAATGTTTATCGCACAAGACATTTTTGGTAACTGGTAAACGGATCAAAAAAATAAGAAGAGAAGATATGTTCGCTGCCGTGATCGGGCAGGCACTGAGCATATAACCACTACGTGCGGGCAGGGAGTGACTGTGGATCGAAACAAAATCAGAATGCGAGGCAAAAGTGCTATGGAACAATTCAAAAATTGAATTTAAATACGAGTGGCCAGGAACCGGAGAAAGGCGATAAAAAGGTGGGATAACGATATAAGGAGGTCACACCGTCACAATTTTACATCTAGATGTGTATTATATTAGGGGTTAAAGTATGAAATTGCCGTTTTATTGCAATAGGTTCTTTGAATTTTCATAGAATCTTCATGGTTTGAGGTTTTCGAATGAAACTTTTTTCAAATGGTTTCTGTGATTTTTTTTTTTTAAATTTGAAACATTTGAATATCGACTTTCAATTGTTTTTGTTATTCAATTTAGACAAGAAAGATGGATACTGCGAAAATTCGAGTGATTTTTGAATACGAGTTCCGACGCGGAACTAACGCGGCAGAAACAGCCCGCAATATCAATGCTGCGTTTGGAGAGGGGTCTACTAATGAACGCACCGTGCGATTTTGGTTTAAACGCTTTCGTGATGGAAATTTCGACTTAAAGAACGAGCCACGGGGAAGACCGCCCACACAGGTGAATAACGATGAATTAAGAGAGATAGTGGAAGCCGATCCTAGTCAAACTACCCAGGAATTAGCGGCATGGTTTAACGTTACCTTACCCACAATATTGACTCACTTGCGTCAAATCAATAAAATAAAAAAATACGAAAAATGGGTGCCTCATGATTTGACTGATCTGCAGAAAGAAACGCGTGTTGAAACTTGTGTTGCCTTGTTGAACCGGTACAGAAATGAAGGAATATTGGATCGAATTGTAACATGTGATGAAAAGTGGATTCTTTATGATAACCGGAAAAGAAAAATGCAATGGCTGACCCCAGGTCAATTGCCACAACAGTGTCCTAAAGCAAAACTTACCAATAAAAAGGTAATGGTAACTGTTTGGTGGTCTCAGCATGGTGTTATTCACTATAGTTTTCTCCGATCTGGTCAAGCAATAACGGCAGATGTCTATTGTGCCGAACTCCGAACCATGTTGACAAAACTAGCAGTAAAACAGCCCCGACTCATGAATCGATCTTCACCATTATTGCTCCACGACAACGCGAGACCTCACACAGCACGAGAAACCATTTTGACCCTTCAGGAACTGCAGTTAGAAACCATTCGTCATCCTCCGTATTCACCAGACCTTGCTCCAACGGACTACCATTTTTTTCGTGATTTGGACAATTATCTACGTGACAAGAAGTTTTCTTCCCAGGAGGCAGTACAAAATGCTTTCACACAGTTTGTGCAGTCTAGATCGTCGGAGTTCTATCGCAAAGGCATTAATAACCTTCCCATTAGATGGCAGCAATGTATAGATAATAATGGCAACTATTTTGATTAAATAAATTTGTTAAAAATTTAAAAAATAAACAATTTAGATTTTCAGTACAAATCGGCAATTTCATACTTTAACCCCTATTATATGAAAATTGGCCGTAAAAGTATTGTTTTAATTAATCCATAAGCTCAATCGTTAAGCGTACTTGTCAATCTACAAAGCGATGTGATTGGTTAATGCTGCATGTGAATGGATATATAGCATTAATTAAACAACTAAAATGGAAATAGATTTTATAAACATTTTCCAAAACCTCGTAAATTGCAAAGAATGTAAAAAATATTCATAGATATACAATCTCCTTTGCACCCTTTCGAACTAGATTACGGTGCTATCACTGACTGGTACGAAAACCATGGCCTCCGATTCCAAATTCAAACTCGCTCAGTGCACCCGCGACTGCGGTCTGTCAACATTGTCGTAAAAAAAATATCACGTCAAAATGGCTGCCAAAAGCGCTGACAGATTGAAATTTAGACGCAGAAAATTGTCCAAAACTTCTGTTGAGGATAATGACTGCGCGAGTCTTGCGTGGTTATTGAATTTCCGTTTGGATGAAATTGTGAACGTAAAAGTGCCTGATGATGACGTGCCTTTGAAGGAACCTAAAGCTCCTATTCCTGACACCCCACCTGCGCCGAGGAAACCACCTTACACTTATCCTGAATTGATTGAACGAGCGTTGAGAGAAAAAGGGGAGTTGACAGTATCTGCCATTTATCAGTGGATATCGTGAGTTTCTCTTATTTCTCAAATTTTCTGAACTGTAGAGGTATATGTTGTTAAGTATGTGTGTTTATATTATAAGAAGAATATGTGGAAGTCTGGGTTGAAGGGACGCAAAGCCGTGTAGTTCTTTAAGAAGAAGTTTCTTATCTTAATCTGGGTGAAATTATAAATATTATATATTCTTTACCTATTCTCATCTGATTTGTAACACTGGTAGGTCATGCTTTGGCATTATAATTTTTTTATTAATAATTATTCATTATGGCCGTCTCCTATGACTTAGAGTACATTTGATGAATCGTAATCAACATAATAAATGTTAGTTTATGAGGTAAATTATCTCTGTAATGAATGGTAATTTTGATTTAAGTATGTAAATTAGTAACAACGAAAATAAATAACGGTTTCTCAACAATCGAAATCACGATTCTCCGTTGACAAAAGATTATCGGTTGCGGTGTGTGCACATTCGGGTGGGGTGTGTGCCCAAAGTGGGTTGGGGCTATATATGGCTTTGTTAAATTTTCTCCGATATGTCGATTTCCTCACATTGCTTGCCTTCAAAACTATTGATAGTCTAGTAATCTAAATTGCACTATGATGCAGGTCGCTTCGTGATTAGAACTCGATCCCTCCTGTGTGTCATCGCACCTAGATTCTATGTTTGAAATTTCCGCAGGTTGTATTCGGCCGGTGATCGACTTAACCCTTATAGACTATTACTTGCCTGTTTAATATTGTTCATGTAAGTTATACAAAATAAATAAGTAAGTTCTCGCCAAGCTTCTAATTTTGACAATTTTAATCAATAACGTTTACTTTAAAAAAGGATAGAAGCATTTGTTATTTATTTTTAAAAAAGCCGATAAAAATATGTAGAAGGCAAGGATAAATAAAAATATTTTTACATGAAAACAGTCCGGAGCTTCATTAATATTGATGGTAATGAAAACAATTCATCAAATTAATTCAGCGACCTCGGTTTATTGTACTATTCAATCAATCAATTGGATAGTAACGGTTCAGCTGTTATTTTCTGTTACCGTATGTTATATTAAGCTTTGGTTCAGAGAGCATGCGTTTTAAACATGTACACTCCTCATACAATAGTGATCTCGTTGGAAGAAGAAACAAGCATCCACTATCTTTGCGTGTATTGCTTTAAGGAGTTTACGTTTTCATCTATGTTTTATGATGTCCCGGCACCACGTTTTTATAATCCTGAACTATACATGGTTATAATATTGCTGTGATGGATCTAACCTAAATCTAAAGGGCATGTTTAAGGACTCCTCGCATCATTCGTAGTCCGTACAGCCTTTATCCTCCTAAGGCCATGTACATAAAAATGTATATATATTAATAATAATATTGAAATATAATATTGAAGTCAGCAGAGAGCCAGACAATATGTAAAAGTCCAAAGTACATTATAATGAAAATATCGTATTTAAATCATTCTATATGTCTATTGCTGTTAACTACCTCTGTGGCCGAACGCTTTAACATGCTGGACTGCCACGCAGAGGTCCTAGGTTCGATTCTCGGGCCGGGAGAAATATTTGTATGGCCTACATTTCTTTCTCCCGTGAGTTTGGATGTAATTTGTGGTTGTGTATGTGTGTGACCATGGCACCCGCGACACAGCGTTTCCCTAGTGGGGCTATGTTGAGTGTGTACAGGGTATCTAGAAACACACGCTTTTCTTGAAAATATGTGTGAAAATATTTAGTACATTTTAGTGTGACATTGAGGTTCAGCTCTTTTCCCGTTGTAGTTTGCTCTGTCTTAGAAGGTTATGCATGGCACCGTAGACAAATCTGCGCCACCACGTGTACACTTACCGTAATCTGACTTTGATTCAGTTATTTCACAGAAATTGCTTTCCTTAATACACAATCAAATACCTTTACAATTCCACGTTTCATTCAAAAGCATTGTCGACGATATCAAATTATGCCTACAAAGAGAAAGGTTTAATATTACTTCAGTGTCATTTAGCCCGTTCTTTGTCCTGTTCGTACCCAATTTTCCTATCTATTGTAATGGTATTGCCCATTGTAAGACTGTGTTACACACACGTAAGTTACACGACCATTATAAGGGCTCCCATTGGGCGATCCGTTATTATGTTATATTCGTTATTCGCACTTCCTAACGCATCATGTCGTCGTCCCAACTTTTGGAATGACTCAATTGTTCCATCGTCATCGTAAGATGTATTGTATAGGATTCACTACGTTAATTCTATTAAAAAAAACTTGTTTTTCTTCGTCCTCAACCATTTAAAAATTCCTTTAATGAAAGAAAAGCATGTAATTGATTCGTAGAATTACGTTACAACTTATATTTATTTTAATTTTATCTCATTACACATTTCGAAACTAATTAACCTTATTTAATTCAATTACATTTTCCCTAACCCCTTTCTGATTACCGGTTAAACGTGATTACAGATGCTTATCATTTGATTACAGTTAATTACAAATGTAATATTGTAATCAGTATCTTATCGCTGCAGGATTTGCTTCCGTGTACCGATTCATTGGGTTGTGAAGGGGGAGATATGCCACTTGTTTTATTTGTTACGCGTTTTCTGACACGTGGCATTTGTAAACAAAACGATCTTTTTTCATTGCTTATAAAGTAAATAATAATATTTCCTGATTGTGTTTACATAGCTTTCTTGACATCAACGGACCCTGTCTTGGGCAGTCAGAAAGTCGTTTGACTTCGATTGCATGTTGGTCGCCGAGTAGACCAAAATGTATTTAGAGAATGTTCACATGTTAAAATATAATGTCTTAAACTAACATAACATACATGGTTCTACGGGGAAATCATTAATAATTTGGGTCACTGATCACAAGTGTGCACGTGCCTTTATATCAAAACTTTCTTATCTCAAAGTTCAACTCATCTTTGAAATGCATTAGGGTGCCCCACAGTTGTGAACAGGTGCAAAAAAATTGTCAGCAAACCCCATGATCGACCGCTTAGTACCGGATGTAACAATAATTGACTTGATTAAATGAAGATATGCTACTTATTACACTCCCATTTTATAATATTCCGAGCACGCTGTAGAAAGCGACTAGGCAACAAAATTCAGAGGATATATATAATAGGTACTATCTATCAAACATCTTCCTATTTATGATATTAGCTGCCTTGTTATGATCGCCGACTCACGATTAAATTAAGACACGCTATTAATTATTCTCCCATTTCATACTTCATATTCATATCACATAATTTCCCATGTACGCCGTGGAAAGCCACTAGGCAACAAATCCAAGGGATACGTAGTACCATTTACTTCCTATTTATAATATTAGTTGCCTTGTTGTGATCGCTAAATCATCTATCAAACAAGTTGATGACTGTAAATTCTCTTTGTTTTACGGAAATATTCACATTATAATATGTTATCAGTGTTAACATTATTCGTCATGTGATAATGATAAAGTGTTAGTCTATATATTTTATACATCAATGGTTACGATAATCGGCGAATTAACCAGGGTAAGGGGGGGTCACGGTGCATGCGCGATTGATACCCCGTGCCAGGTGGAGACGGGCGCGCGCCTTAGCTACGGTAGATCACAACATGTCATAGGTAGGGAGCTAGCTTATTGGTTGTTGTTTATATCTATTGCAAAGTTTCGGGAATTTGCTTTAAAGGAAGTGGTTTTGCATAAATATGGTGAAGATTACTATAATAGGTAACAGAACGTAAATAACGTGTACATACATGGCATTTTCAAAGATACAGACGAATTCTACTAATACTAATTTTTAAAACATATTTGCTGCATGCATAAAGTAGCACATCTGCTTAACAATCTTTATTAATATTTTTTTATGACACCAAGTTACGTGACGGACACTGCGTGGCAGTTCGGCATGATAACCTTTCGGCCACCGAGGCAGTTAGTTTATTGAATACTCAAGACCATTCTTTTTAAATTACATTTCAGATGATAGCAAAAACATGGCACAATTGTATGACGAAAATTACGTAAGTGGGCTTGCTGTGCACCAACAAAGTACAGTCCAGAATTTTGGAACTGTATGGTAAAATTGTATGGCGGTACAATTTTATCTAAGAATAATAATGTTGTGGAAACGAATTTTTGAAATTTAACTTTTAGTTATTATCGCCATTAAAAATCTAACCTGTCCAACTTTAAAATTCCTTGCACAATAACCTGATAACTATGTAAGTTGTAGAAACATGTATAATCATGGTTACTCATGCTTTGTTTTTCAATGAATAAAGCTTCTATTATGTATTTGTACAAAATTTCTGACATAATTGGATTCTGCTGCTGCAAAAATTCCAAGTATATGAAAAGACACTTTCTGGTAAGATCCAATAAGTATGCAGATCTTCAGCTTATACATATTGTATCTCTAAAAAGGGTACAATATACTTTTATTTAGTACCCTCAATTTTAAGGCAAGGCTACAATCGGCAGTAATTTTTTTGATAACCTTAATACATTTAGTTTTGGTGCTATAAACAAAAAATTGTTTTTCCACTAAAATTTAAAAAATGAGCTCAAATTCGTTCAGTGCGCTATATTTTGTTATCGATTTTGTACTAATTTGAAAAGTGTCAGGTCTTATTTTAGTTTTCTATCAAAAACGAAGTTTCCTCTTGCAGACTGATACTGTGTACCGGGAGTCCGCGTAGTTCGACATGGAACTTTAAAGTAAATGGAACAGTGTTCGAGTTAATGTTACACATTTAGCTGGCCTAAAGAGACCTTTACACTTTATACTTTATCCCAACATGCGGCTTATATGCTATTCGATGGATTTACGATTCTCATTCATAAGTTGTTTTACAGTAGGTCGTGAAAATATTTAAAAATAGGGAACAAGTTTGATGTTGTTCCATTTATACCGCTATATGTATGCTCTTCCACTCATAAGGTATGAATTTGAGAATCAATCTTTGTATAAAAAATAATGTACATACTGTTGTTATTATTATTAGGTTGGCTTTATTCGGGATATATGCAGCCCTGCGTCTGCGACCGTTAATTGATCTTTTGTGATCACCACTAATTACAGTTCGGAGCCAAGGCCGACAGTTTTGAAAAACTAAAGGAAATTCCTGGCACCGATAGATAGGCACTGGCACTGGCACTGGCACTGGCACTGGCACAGGCACCGGCACCGGCACCGGCACCGGCACCGGCACCGGCACCGGCACTGGCACCGGCATTGGCATTGTCATCATCATCATTATTATTATTAAATATGAAGTGTCAAACTTCACGACTCTTTCTACATACCAAAATAAATATTACCGATGTCATATCAATTGCACTACTAATTATAAGTTACTTCATCTTGCGAAAACCCACATAATTTGGAAAAATAAAATTTAAACTAAATGTAAAAATTAAAAAGTAATTAAAAAAAATAACAAGAGGACCGAACTAAAGAGAAAAATAAATTAAAGTAAGGTTTTATAGAATTGATTTGCAAAATCTGTTAGGCAAAAACTTTGGATATTTTTTGTACTGAACTAAAAAACCACTTACACTTTATTTCCAGAGATAGATTCCCTTTCTATAAAGCGAACGATGAACGCTGGAAGAACTCGGTCCGACACAACCTCTCCATCAACCCACACTTCCGCAAAGGAGCCCGGGCCCCACAAGGCGCGGGGCACCTCTGGTCCTTAGCGGCTAACGCGATAGATCTTTTACCGTTAAGGAATAACCCTGAGGATAGAATTGTTGGAGAAACGCTTCAGGAAGCGCAGATCATCGAGTGCCCTAAGGTAAGCATGCACTGTAATGAAGTTACACAGATAATGAGAGCTGACATACCGCACCATTGGTCACATCTGCAAAGTGACCACATTTCATAGAGAGACATTAGACATTCTAAGAACGATATTAGTCGATTTTTTTTATGCTTAAATACAAGAGTTATATTATCCACATAACGTCAGATATAGTGCAAATCCGCGTATGTAGTATTAGTAAAAAGCGCGTATCTTCACCAAACCAAATATCACAGGAGAGGGATTTAACGTTAATTACTTTGTTATTTCAAGGGCTATAACTTTTATTTTTGCACAATAAGCATTAATTTATGTTGTCTACTGACTGATAGCAATAGATTCCCCGCAAATCACGCTAATGTGGTTGCCACTACAATTACGCGGATTTGATTTGGCGGCTCAATTGTAGAAATGGAGACTCGTAATTGCTTATCCTCGACATAAGTATACATAATTTGTTTCATATACTTCCTATTATTCCTATTCCTTTTATGTGATATTAAAAATAGTACATATTTATGTCTAAATACATATATAACAATAATACGAGCGAATTCAGTATACGCTTTCTTTATGGATATAACGCACACACACACTCAACATAGCCCCGCACTAGGGAAACCCTGTGTCGCGGGTGCCATGGACACACACATAGACAACCACAAATTACACCCAAACTCACGAGAGAAATAAATGTAGACCATACAAATATTTCTCCCGGCCCGGGAATCGAACCCGGGGACCTCTGCGTGGCAGTCCGGTATGGTAACCGTTCGGCCACGGAGGCAGTTAAATTACCTATATATTACCCACTTAGCCGTATTATAATTGTATCTAAAGAGCTTTGTGATATCGTTTTCAGGTCATAGTCCTGGACGAGGCTGCTATTGCGGCGGCGAGTATTATTCCTGATCAAGACATGTTCACCGGCAATACAAGTAAGGCGAAAATAGTGTATTTAAATTTACATTTTTGTTATTGTTAGACGTTGGAAATGAAATAATTTTTTTTCAGTAGGGTTAGCACGATAAGACGCGACTTGTGCCAGAGCGACAAAAAGCGCGAGATCTGTATGCGAGAATACCAGTATCTCGCGCTTATGCCGCTTTCGCGCTACTCGCGCCCTATTGCGCTAGCCCTGCTGATCTAAATTGCGTATATTTTTATTCTATGGTTATGACTAACTGAGATGGTGAAGTTATAACTACTTACGTGTGATATTCATATTTAAGGTGGTTTTGCATTAATATTAGATATAAGTGGTTGATGACTTTCAGTCAACTATGACTATGAAACCTGTAGAGTGGGACCCGAAACGTTAGTTCGTTTTTAAAAATTAACATACGCGATTTAGATTAGAAAAAAATAGTTTTATTTCATGGTTAATGTTTTCTTAAGATACGTACAATAAATAATTACAACTTCTTATAAAAAAAAAACTGACCTCAAACGTTTGTGGAATTACATTTATTGCTAAGTTTTATTGAAATCGGTTGGCGGAAACTAGGACAAATTCAATAAACCGAATTCATCCCCTAATTTCCCTTGAAGGTGGAATATTTCCTTCAAATTTGAATGGGGCAATTACTGGAGTATCCCCTTTCCAACAAAAAAAGGATCGTCGAAATCGGTTCACAAATGTCGGAGTAAAAGCGTAACATACACAAAAAAAAACCAGACGAATTGAGAACCTCCTAAGTCGGTTAAAAAGGCAATAGAGTCTGTTTACAAAAACTCTTATGAACTAGTAATAAAAATAAATAGGAATATTGCTCTATAAAGGTTAAATACAATGTATGTTAAAATGTCTTAATTTTTGGTTCCAGTGTTCCTAAACCCAGTTTCCACGGAGCAAGTTGTTAGGGAATGTGGATTGATCACCGTCGACTGAATGCCTGCATGTGTCAACTTAGGATTAACGTGTACATTGATCAGAGCTATTGTACAAGTCCAAAAAATGTTACCGCTCTATAGTTAGTTAGACTTTGGAGTAGCACTCAGAACTCAGCTTTAAGTTTATGAAAGCAAATAGGACTGTGTAACGCTGAAAAAGAAATAAGCGAAATGAATTTGCCAAGACTTCTTTTTCTAAGCTGGAAAATATGAAACGTGGATTAAAGGCGGAAGGTGATGTGGGCCATCGAGGTACTTTTTGGGTCTGGTCAGATCCGCGAAAGAGCACATCTTTATCGTAAGCCTATGTTACAAACGCTTCATATTCATAGCGGCCAACATTATTTGACGCTGAACCGACTGGAGACATTTATTGGTGCAATGTCTATAAATGTTGTAGATCTGGGCCCTAAATATGCTAATTTCAAATTATTTCAGTTGTAGTGGTCGGATTTTGTACGTTTGGTATTCTGCTAAAATTTAATCGTAGTGGCTTGACAGTGTATTCAACTATACTCCGTCCAACCATTTATTTAACTTTTGACATATGCATGCCCACAAAGTTCTTTAATTATGAACGTACAACCATAGACAAAAAAATGCAATACTTCCTAGACTCTTTTATTTTTTAATTTTAGTGAAGCGACGTGCTCTTTAGCTATGATATTTATCGAGTCAACTGATTATGTAACGAAGATTATTTCAAGTTCATAAATTTTGGTACCTGTCTAATAAATTACAATGAAATGAAATAAATTATGAATAATTATTATAAATTCTTATTGTTTAATATCGTCGAATTCTTCTCTCGCTGTCAAAAGTTAAATAAATGGTTGGAAGGAGTATACTTTTGTAATTTTTTGGTATTCTGCTCTGCTGCTTACATCGAGGCGTAGTCTACTAGTTATTTGACGTTTCTTTTGATTCGATGATGTTTTTTTCACTTACAATTCAAACGCTCATATCGATTATCAAATTATATTTAAAAAAATATCCATTTAGTTCGAGACTAAATTGCTGATTAAACGAGATAAAAATTCAGATATGCATTTACTATGCATTTTCATGTTAGTTTTTATACGGCAATATTAATCGTTCGTGATTGAATTCCATCACTATCATTCCACTGACCACCTCTATTAAGATTTCTATTAACTGCCATTGCAGTTACATTTTAGCCGATTATCAAGGATTATCCTAATTACAATATAACCTCAGTTGAGTCTCAATGAATTCACAGACACCAAAGGTTTCAAGAAAATTAGTAGGTTTGGGGCCCTGACTCGTTGCCTTGTCATAGTGTAATGAGTGATCAACACATTGTTGATAAGGTAACACGCGTCGACACACTTAATTAAGTGTGTCGACGCGTGACATTAAGAGTATTTGATGATTTCAAAGAAATTTTAAACCCATCATGCTCAAACAGAGTTGTACTGTCAGGTGTGGAAAATGATAGTGAGCAAAACGTATTTACGTAATAATTTACGTAATTAATAAACGTTACGTATTTAAATTTTGTAGTTGCGACCGGTTGAGAGTTTGCATCCCTCTTAAAGTTCTTTAAGTTACCGAATAATATTATTTTCAATCATAAAACTTTCAAACAAGTTTGAGAAAATATGTTAGATTATTATATGTAAAAAAATATTGAAGGTATTGTAAATATTTGTTTTTGATCGTAGCATGACTTTTATTTTGGCATTTTACGCCTCGTTTACACTTGTCATGACTTTTTCACGTTGAGATAATTATAAAAGAAAGAATCCAAAAGTTGTGACACCGAAAAGTTTTCGTTGTTAACGTGAACTTGATTTTCAACTTCAACTTTGTCAGAAATTTTGTGAAAAAATTGTCTCACCGTTGGAGAAATCGTGGTACTTGGGCGTTGTTCTTCGGTACTCAAAATACCTGGCGAAACAATTTGAAGCCTAACGTTTTTATTAAATATGCTTTTAAACACAGATTTTTGGTTAGAAACCTAATAGATGTTGCGAAAAGCGCAATAAGATAAAACGAGACTATTTCATTTTAGCATTTCAACGCAGTGTCTAGCGACAAGATACGTTGGGGACAGGTTGTGGGCAAACCACGCTAAGTCACGTCAAATGCACCTTCTGTTATGTAAATACCCTAACTACTTTATACTTTCATGTAGTATAAATGTCAAAAGGAAAGACTAGTTTATTTGATAATAAATAACTTTACAAAACAAATAAAAAATCTTAGGTATTGCATTCATTCAATGCTATGACACTAATTTATTGGCTTAGAAACAGTCTAATTTTGTAATTTTTAAGCTCCATTCACATTGGCGCGGAATGGAAGTGAATTTTGAGCTAAGTTTTACATAGTATAACGAACTTTATGTCAATCGTGTAACGTACAAACTAGATACGATACCTAGCAACAGGAATTCCCGATACTGCGCGATAATTCACCGGAAGATGCAGCATCTTGTTTGTACATTACATATCATATTGATGTATATTTTATACATAGATGGTTACAAAAAACTTTTCTATTTTTTTTATGATACCAGGTCACGGGACAAACAAGTCGTGCGCTTCGTGGTAAGCGACACGCCTGTCCATTTAGGTCACTAATTGTAACTGCAAAAGTGGCGCGCGCGTTACGTCTGGGCGCTGCAACTGCTCCCATCAACTAAATATTGTATGAAAATTAGTAGTGTTGCGCTACAGTACCACAATGGTGCAGTGGCAGCGCTTCAGTAAGCGTCGAGTTTGAAGGCGCCCTAACAGTTGCAGTGACACTCAGGCATTTAAATCGCAAAGATTTGTGGGACACTGCCACTCCACCCGTCATACTGCGACACGTTGAAAGTCCCATGTGCCTGTAATCTCACCTGCATCCTTCAAAACCGGCACACAGTTACGCTCGCATTACCTATTACTCGGCGGCAGAAATAGGTCAGGTGGCAGTACCGAATTGACCGAAGACTTTCACAAGGAGTTAGCATTCTACTATAATTCGTTCCGCAACAGTGTAAATTGAGCCTACCATCTACTTTTCCATACCTAGTAATACCTACTTATCAGACTTAGGGTCGTATTCTAGAACTCTACTCAATGTTCAAGTCAGGATTTGAGTATGGTTTGAAGCAGTCGAAATCATACTCAAGTCCCTGCCATTAGGGTCGTATTTCCAGTGCAATCCTGACTTGAGTATTGAGTAGAGTTCTAGAATACGACCCTATGTGTAGGTTTTTGAATCATTGTAAAGGTGCGTTCATTTTAAAACTGTAAAAAGAAATTACGCTACGTAATACGTTGATCAATATGGAATTTTGAACTTTGTCAATAACCCTAGCTATAATATTATTTAGTACTATTCTAGCTACATCTATTCATGATTTCCTAGTACGTAGTGATCTCACAATATTGGCATTTAATGAAGTTGTATTTGATAATAAAATAATTTCAAAATGAAACAATTGCTTTCAATCAGGTTTCAATTAATTTATTTGCATTAATTGGTTACATTTGCTGCTGTATAATTCAAATACTTTGTGGAAAGTTAATGTTTAAAGTAAAGGTTTATTTTGGTGTCTGATTCCGACATGGTAGGTTGTGCAAATAAAGATTTTCGTTGCGGAATCAACCCTATAAATTAGTAGTAATTACATGATGATACACTATATTAGTTGTTACAAAAATGTAGTGTTCATATTTCATAAAAATGAAGAAACTTATTAACGTAACAAAGATCGAACACAGAAAAATTCCTTCGATCCGGTGGATTCCAACCAGCGCCTACAGCATACCATGCGTAGAATTCATAGATTTCTCATAGATCTCAAAAATAAAAAATAAAGTCCTGCAACAAGCACATAGGAAAATTCGTAAGGTCTGTCTGCTGGTCCGTTCGTTAAGCTGAAGGCGCTGGTTCGATTTTTCTTAGTGTTTGATCTTTGTATTAATAATTATAACAAACTAGTGACGTAATTTCATAAAAAAGACTTGAATATCATGGTAGTAAAAGATCGTTATTAAACTTACTCATTATCCCTGCTCTGTTATTCCTTCTACAAGCAGATAACAGTATGAAATGTTACATGAGCTGGATATTTGCCTAATGACGTTATCTTAACGATACAGTTTCAAATCAACACGCTGAACATTTCAAGCGAATGTACTGCGAACCAAAATGACTATGTATTTTAAAAACTTAGCCGTTTCAGCAATACTATCACATTCGGATTGTATATATTGAATAGTTGACGCTATATCGCTCATTATTAAACAAGGCATCTCTATGGTAGTACGGTAGAGATTCAAAAAATACCAACACACTACCAGTGGATCCCGCGAGGTAATAAATTATCAACATCAAGGAAAAGTCAGCAAAATTTGCCTAAGAGTTGAGGCTAGCCGCTAACGTCCGAATGCTTAATGTACTATTATTGTAGCTATATCTCCTTGGACTCTACGGGGCAATCTCGGGGGTCAATTCTATCTGTCTTGTGGCTTGTCGGAAAACCGCTGTTTTGCTATTTATTATTTATAATTTCCGGGATGACTAAAATCTCTCGCTTTTGTAGTATAATAATTAGTAAAATAATTTACTTAAAGTTATGTTTAATACATATATTATTGAATCCGTGGCTTATAGCGTCTGCCACGGTAACCTAGAAGACGTCCGTTCGAATCCGGCCGGATCGAAGGAATTTTATCTGAGTGTTCGATCTTTGTATTAATAATTATAATAAACTAGTGGAATAATTTCACAAAAAACAAATTAAATATCAATTCAATAAAAATTTAAAATACAGTGAATATCGATATCTCTCGCCAGGGCTGGTAACTGTAAAGATATCGAACTGGGTGATAAAACTTTCATAGATTTCTCATAGATGGCGCTACGACTGAAACGACGTTGAAAAAAAACAAATACAAAGATACGACGCAAGCACATAGAAAAATTCGTGAGGTCCGCTTCTTCGTTCCGTGGCTTAGTTGGTATAGCTTCTGGCACGGTGAGCTAGAAGACGTCGGTTCGAATCCGGCCGGATCGAAGGAATTTTTTCTGAGTGTTCGATCTTTGTATTAATAATTATATTATTAGAATTAAATATTTATTGAATCCAATAAAAATTTAATTACAGTTAATAGCGACGTTTCTAACCAGGGCTGGTAGCTATAAATGTATCTAATTGGGTGAAGAAATACTTTCATAGATTTCTCATAGATGGCGGGACAGCCAAAAAGTCGTTGAAAACAGAAAGATGTGACAACAAGCACATAGAAGCACACAGAATCGGTCTGGCATGGTTTGCTAGGAGCCGTCGTTTCGAATCCGGCCGGATCGAAGGAATTTTTTGTAAGTGTACGTTTTTTGTTTTAACAATTATGTTATTGGAACCTTTGCTGGATTTTATTTGAAGTAAGTGGTAAGTAATTGTTCTTTTTCCATAAGTTGCATCTTTTGTGTAAATATTGTACAACAGATGTGTAGAAGTCTATCTAAAAACGTTAAAGACTGCCTATAATGTCAATTATACACTCCCGGACACGTAAATCTAGCCAACTTGCATTTTCAGTATGAAATGGCCTAAACCTAAATAATGTCTGATTGATCAAAAACTGTTAAGCCATTTTGAGATTGGTATACTAAACGTCATTTCCATTAAGTCCTTGTTGAAAATTTGAATTTATAAAACAGTGGAAAAAGTTTTCTTCGGTGTTAACAATATGTGTTCCGTCTTTTGAGAATAAAAATGCAAGATGGCTCGATTTATATTTCTGGGAGTATATAAATATAGGTGACAGTACATTAGTAGAGGCATAAGAATATATTTATCCTTTTGGTCCTATCAATAGGAGCATAACGACATATTAGTCCTCGTGCTCCTACTAGTTGGAGCATCCAGTATAAGCATGAAGAAACGGTCAATATAACAAATGCGCCCAAAACAACCATATTTATGTACTAGCATACAAAAAATTTAATATTAGCAATGTTGTGTATGTCGAATGTCTTCTGCTTTCATACAAGTATTATTTAGATTGATTCCTATTTCCCATTACTTTTACATACGGTCTTTGGGATATATACATATGTATATTTTGCAATTTTATGAATGTCACGAAGCATATTATTCATTGTGTTCTTTTATTATTCATACGATTCATAGTTGTGAGGATTACCAAATCGCAACAAATACATACGAAAAGAACGACGTTATTTTCAGTAACAGAAACCGACAAAGGGTCTTTAGTGTGACCGGAAACTTATTTTAACCCAACTGTTTGTTACGTTTATAGTAATTACATGAGTTGTTTTTTTTTCTCCCTCTCTCGAGTCTCCAAAAATTTCGTAACTTCTTTTCAGTTACCTCACGTTTTTCGAATGAAATTTATATATTTTTGAGCTTCGCCATAATTACGGAGCCGCTTGGTCCATGAGTAGAATATTGAAGAGCCTAAAGGCGCTCCGATGGAGGTTTAATTATTTATATGGAGACTTAATGAAGTGGGGGAAATAAGAGGATATTAAAGCTGTGATGGAATTTACATTGGCGTTTATTATATTTTATTAAATAGTAGCATATAACTGTTTTATATGATGAGTTATGAGAGATTGTAGTGTAAAGGTAGTATTAAAATTATCGTATTTTTCCAAGAATATTCAAAAGAGACACAGTTTTTCAACAAAACTTGAAAAAAGTAAAGTGTTTATCTATATAAATATTATTAGTACTTTGTTCATTAATGACAGTAAATAATAAATTAACGACGAGAGTCTATTAGAAGCTTAAATACAAAGGCTTTAATGACCCTAGGTACGCATAAGCCGTGATGAGATATAAAACAAATGTTTTGAAAGTACTAAAAAACGTACAGAAGTTGAATGTATAAAATTAATTTAGAAAAATATACAAGTTAAATTGCAAATTATTCGTTTTTTTCTATACTTACTTCAAGCTTAGGTGAATTAATTTCAGATTTTTCGAGCAAAAAATGTTTGCATAATCTTGACTTATATGAGAAGTAGGTACATTGCAATTAAATTTTTTTTAAGTAATGAAAAGGCTCATAGACATAATTTTGGATAGGTTAGGATATGTTTATGACAGATTAATACGGACGTTCCAAACTAATCGGGATCAGCATTACCTTCAGTCAATTGAGCCGTACAAGCCCATTACCCAATATGAAGTGCAAGTCTGTCTCGGAACTGGCGTGTCAAGCATCCATGTTGATTTATAAACGCAATTCAAAATTGAAGGCTTAATTATTAACACGTACATCTCTAGGTATTATTAACATTCGAATTAACCAGTAACTGCAACTACATACAGGTCATTACTAAGAGTGAAGTGCGACTATGGGTTAACGTAAGTAGGCGTGCCGATCACCCATTACTGCTAGGGTCCCCTGATTTACTGCGGACCCTCGGGCTGCTCTCGTGTGGGATTACAGCGGGTCTGCCGGCAACTCTTGTTTATAATGGATAGTACATCAGTACTATTATATATATTAACACCACTGTTACAGAAGGCATTTTTAATATTAAAACTAACCTGAATGTTCATTATTTCTTAAATTATAAATACAATTATTTATTGCTTCTTAAACGCACTGTTGAGAGTTTAATGATCGTATTTAAGTTGCAATCTAATATTCAAGAATGTTTAGCTGCTAATCACTAGGATTTATTAATAAGGTACTTTTATCAAACGTTGATGTGAAGATATACGGATTAGTAAGACGCTTGTCTTAATTATGTAATCTCCTTTGTTGGTAGATCAATGAATATCCTTTATAAAGTAAACACATACTAGTATAATGGTAAGCATACCATAATGTGGTTACTTGTTACTTTGTAAATAAGATTATTATTAAGTGCGTGTCTTATCAAACCTTTTTAAGGTTTATTATACATATGTGTTATTTCTTAAGGTTTTTTTAATAGTACAAGTGACGGGACGAACAAGCGTGGTGGTAGGTGACACACCTGTCCATAACCGCCGCAATGCCACTCAAAGCTCTGAGGAGCATTACCACTGCACCCGCCACCCTGAGACATAAGTGGTCAAGCTCTATGTGTCTGTAATTTCATCAACACCCTTACCGTTCAAAACTGGAACGCAGTAATGCTTACATTACTGCTTGACAGAAGAAAAGGTGGCAGTGCTTCCCTGGATGAATTCTTTCACAAGGAACTTTACTGCTACAACAAATTTCTTAAGGTTAGTTGGAACTAAAATGTTTGCTAAAATTTTGTTTGTTTTGTGGTACAATAAAGTGTTTATGT